ATGATCACAGGTAATAATTGTACTGCTGGAATTGTTCCCTTACATAGAGCTATGCCCTAGGCTACAGCTATTCCCGAGTTGCTGGCTGAGCTTTATAACTATCCCTCCAGCCAGTCATTTGGGCATGTGGGAAGGGTCACACCAACATGCTCCACCTCTGCAACTGATCTTCAAGCACTGTAACTAGTAGCAATTAAGAACAGTCATTTTGTTCTTGAACATCAATAAAAAATAAAGTTTTAAAGCCATTTAAAACTCCACGGGATAGTGTTTTGAACAGTGTTTTCTATGCACACAAAGGCATAGATTTCCTCTGATCCTCCCAGCAGTGTTATCAATTGCAGCTTTCCCAGGAGAAAGTGTGAGTGGGAACTAAGTCTAAATATGTGGATATATGATCTGATCCACATCCTGCTTGAAACCATTACTTGTCTTGCTGTTGATTTTAGTGGAAATCGGATATAAGGAGCAAAAGAGAAGTTAGCAACTCTGGCTTCAGAAATGACTGGGAAAAGAAAGTTGAAATAATGGTGAATGGTTTTCTTGAAGTTGCTCCATGGAATATGGTATCAGTGTTTAATGTTCTTGTTACGTCTCGTAAGCTCTTTTTTCAAAATACCTTTAAAACATCTTTCCTGTTGCACTGAAAACATCAACGTAACCAGAGAGAACGTTAGAAAGCTGAGATTTGGAAGAGCTTTTGGAAATGTTTGGAAAAATACATGTTTAATTTTGAAAGGATTTGGCTGCAGAGATTCTACAGGTGGTTTTTAACATATCAGCCTCAGTCTCTGAGGACTGCGGGTATTTGTCTGCCTGAAATGAGTGTTATATTTGTACATTTGTCAGGGGCAAAATATACAAAACTGATCCATTAGACTTCACCGTTTCAATATAAACTGAAATCCCTGTCAGATGTAGAGAATTTAAAGTTTTTTACCTGAAAGAGAATGGGTTTAACAAGGCAGATATTTGTGCGTCTTTACTACATTTTTCTCCAAAAGAAGGTTAATAAAGAATGACTGTGAAGTAAGATTTCCTAATCTAATAAGGAGATAAATTTTTACTCTGATCTATTCTAGTCTTTGTTGCCACACCAACTGACCAACAATCCTAACAGCAAGTACAGTATAAGGAATTATATGGAAAAAATAATGAACAAAAATTCCTAATAATCCCACTGAATTATGAATTTTGAATAGTTAATTCAGTCACAACAGTATATACTGTGTGGGGTACAGAGCCTATATACTCTGTCATTTTTAGAAATACTTTTCAGGGTAAAAAAATCCATGTTTCCCCTTTTCTGTAAGGAAGGGCAAGTCAAGTTTTGTGGTTAGCAGCTATGTCAACCTTTTCTCCCTTCAGCTAAATTATATGTGAGCCTTGGTTTTTGCCCTAGGAGAAACCTTCAGGAAATCTTATGGAAAGTAATTAACTTTTTGTTCCTGAAAGCAAAGATCAATACATTTCTTTTTGTGAAAGAGAGTGAATGCTGTCGGTATGTTAGTCTCTCTGTAGAATTTGTCTCACTGTGAGAATAGTTGCTGACCCAGGTTATTTGACTGCTCATTCTGACAACATTATTTTATTTCTGGAGGCTTGAGTTTTTTAAGCTACAGAAATACAGTAGTGAGTAAAATTTTAGGCATTAACTCTTTTGAAATGCAATACATACTAGACTCTGGTTTAGAATAAGCAGTTATTCTTAGAAAAACATCTATGAAGGCAGCTCTGTAGCGTTCAATGTTTAACAATATCTCCAAATGGATGCTTGCAATGTTTGTGTGCAGAAAGATTGCTCCCATGCTAGCAAATTAGGAAAATTAGGAGCAAAATTGCAGTTTGCCCAAAATTAATATTCTGTCACCAGAATTTAGTAATAATTATGACTCTACAGAATGCAAATTTATTATGATAAATAGAATAAATAATAGTGGTTTTGAGAATAACAAACAGATGCAGCTTTGAATCTGAGTGAAATCAATCCTGAAGAAGAGTGGAGGAAGGATATCTCTTTTTTTAATGTTGGAATCAGTACATTCTTCACTGACTGCTGACTTAGGCTTTGTCACTTGTGTCTTTTCTAGGTGCATGTGAAATGCTACTGAGTTAGAATAATAAAGTGTTGTATTTCTTCTGTGCAGATATAAAAGACTAGAAGCAGCAGTGGAAAATTGGAACCTTTCATTATTTATCATACTGCATACTCTATGCTATGCCAGAACAATCAGTGGATGATATAAGGGTCTTCTAGTTTGACATAACCCTGCAGCAGAAGTACGAAGCTAAAAAATTTCAACACTTGAACGTTTCTCTAGCAAGCTTTGAAAGCAGTTACTGTAAAGAGATTTGGGCACCCAATTCTCATTGAAATTAAGAAGTTTCTTCAAATTAGGCTTAAAGGGAATTGCTTATTTAAGTTATCAAGGCCACCTGCAAAATCTTCTGTGCCTATTAAATGTTTTTGGCACAACAGACTATGGAAAAATAGTGCTGCTTGAGATTTTTAAGAGTAAATAAGGATTTGACACTTTATAAATAAATATTCTCTTTTTTAAAAAAATCTATTAATACTCCACGCTTCCTAAAATTTTGCCCTCCTTAAAGTGTGTTATGCTGAGGACCAAAGCAGCAGTAAATCATAGCTTGAGTAATTAGCCCAAGATTGTACATTCATTTGTAGGCCTGGAACCCAACTTTCTTGATCCTCGGTCTTGTGAGTAGTTTGCATGCCTCATCCAAAATACTATAGATTTTTTAAACTGACATTCCAAAATTGTACATAAAATGTGAGTTTTCAAAAAGGCAGATTTTTTTTAAAGGCTTTTTTTTTTTTCAAGATGTACTGAGGGAAAAGGTATATCACAACAGTTAGATGCTATTTCTTAAACTTCACCAGGGCTGAGCAGAGCAACATAACTTTACTATAGTAGGAAGAAACTTTATCCCAATCGTTGCTGCTGAGAAAAGAATTTGCTTTAATACTTTACAAAATAACCCTCCTAAATCTAAGCAGTGGATTAAAATGTTTGGAAAGAAATGCCCACTGTTTTTTGTTGGGCTAATTCACAGCACTTCTTCCAGTAAATATTAAGAAATGGCAACTCTCACCTGTCATAATCAGTGGTATGAAAAGCTAACGGGATATCCTAGATTCCCTCATCTGAGTAGTACACTTGTTAAACCTGCTGTTCTCCTACCCAAACCACGTACATTGAGGGACAACCCAGCACAAGTGTTTCATTGCACAAATATAAGTTATTCTGCTCAGTTAAAAATAAAGTTACATGAGAGAAAAGAACTTCCTCCACATACGTTCAAGTAAAGGGGCCCAAAATACATTACTTAGCAGTATTTGGTAGCTTGCTGATATAAATCTTTTATATCTGCTACTATATAAAATCTGTTTGATTTCTTGTCAAACACATTTTTGGTTAAGTAACAATGCATTCTCTAGCTGACAGTTGTTAATAAAATGTCGCCAGTGACATAGTCCAGATCAAATCCTCTGGAAGGCTGCACTGTTATCTTCCCAGATCTGATCTCTCAACATTGTTGGTACTCGAATGGAAGGCTGAGCCATGGCATCTCTGAAGCAGCATGTCGCAAATGTAAATAAGTCAGGCAGGACTCCTTATCATTTTATATATTCTTTTCATACTGGGTGGGATTCTAGGCATTTTAATTACCATGGAAAAATTATGAGTCAGTGGCCAAGTGATTAGCACACAGTTCTGTTATTTATTCTTCAATAAACAATCTTGTCGGAGAATCCAAGTCTACAACCACCATTTTAAGAAAATATCATTAAAACATGAAACTTGATGTGTTCAATTTAGATAATACATATCTAAATCAGTAATCACTTCAAGTTTTTTCTTCATTTCCATTCTATCAAGATAATACGAAACACAGCACCAATGAATAGAAAATCTTCCTTTTGTGTCAGATTGTTTTGTCCTCAGTATAAAACTTGTCACCTTCTAAGAGAACTCCCATTACTAGGGCAGTAAATAATCAGGTCAGATATGTTCTTTTAATTGCAGAAATAAGAGTACTGTGTAGCAGCTGTGATCTGGTGACTGTGCTGCTGCTGCCCCTTTGGTCCCTGGGATAGTCTGAGATGCTTTTAAGGGTCAATGAAGCTGTTCAAACCAGT